CCACCGGCCGACAGAAATGATTACTGGAGTCATCCCGATTCTTCCAGCCAAACCCTGTACCGACCAATCAGACCGCTGTCCTCCGTCAAGCGGCATATTCAGTGTTCTTCCCGCTCGAGCTCCCTCACGACCTCTGCAACAATCTAGACCTCCAATCTCTGTCTGGCTTGTCACAAACCTTCCTCTTAGAGCCCTAAGGGGTGTTTCCTAGAATTAAGAGAGAGCGGTTAAAGTTCTATAGGAGGGAAAATAGTTTTAAGATAGTTACTCTAAATGGAAGGGGGAAGGGAGAAAGGGAGGGGAGAAAAGAGAGGAAAAAGATAAAGGAAGAGGAAGGAGAGAAGGAATTAGAGAGAAAGAGTACGCCTTCCCTCTACATACCGTTCTTAACTATCGACCCTCTCCTTTCTTGTCTGTTCCAGTATTATAGAAAGCGACTACGATATTATAAAGAAAAAAGCATTAGAGGTGAATAAGGCAATAGAAGGAGAACTTGAAGATGTAGTAGAGGATGTAGTAGAGGATGTAGAAAAGGTAGAAAAGATGTAGAAAAGATGTAGAAAAAGGGATCCTGTCAGGTCTACCTTTTATACATTGGATTCCTTGCTTCGTAATTATAGCCACGTAGATATTTCGCAATCTAAAACCTCGCGGTCAGCGTATCACGCCACTCTTCTATTTTCGCTAATAGGAGCGGTCTAAGGTTAACTAGGCCGATAATAAAGATATTAAACTATCAATACTTAAGCATAGTAGGGGGCATATGTTCCCATCTTATCCAAACCAGTCCCCACGGCTCCATAAAATCCCACCACATTCTATTCATAACCCCCCTTCCTTAATAGTCATCTAACGGTACTGGGTCAACCATACACAATTCGCCAAGCTCGCTCTCATCTTCTGAATACTCCTCTTCAGTCTCCAGAGCCGTAATCTCCCCACTCGGAGGAAGTTTCTTAATCAGCGTGTTTTTAACCGTCATATTATCCTGAACCAGAACCCCCTCCAATATTAGAGTAGGCTGACGGCGAGGTAGTGATGGTGAAGATGATGCAGTGTCCAAGTCCCTCATAACGATGGGCCCATCCTCTTCGCCCTCGTTGTCCATAAGCGGATTCGAAATAACCATAGCACCCACTTTCGAACTCGCTTGTACGGGGATTTGTCTGGACATGGCACTGCAGCCCATTGACGGTTGGAAAGCAGAATTATGATCGGACTTGGCTTCCGGACCGCTTGGTTTAATCTCGGCTGGGATGATGTTCCTAACTGGGCTGGGGTCCGACAACAGATCAACTGCTTTGGCTGGCTGTGGTCCCATCGTCGGCTGTTGTCCCGACATTGATTGGTATCCCATTGATGGTTGTTGTCTCATTGTGGTCTGTTGCCGCAGTTGCTGCATCCGTAATTGCCTCTGGAAATTCGATTCAGTAGGTCGGGCCGGCAATGGCGCAGGTCTCGTCGGTAGTGTTTCAGCTTCCTCGTTCATACGAGTCACAGGCTGAGGCACCGGAGCTGTTTTTTTCTCCTGTTCCTTTGCCCTCAATCTAGCTTGCTCTTTCTTCCTTTCCATCAGTTCAAGAGCGCGAGACTGCTCCTCGACCTTCTCGAAATTCACGTCTTCGAATCCAATTTTCGTCAAGATAGTGCCCACCAGATAGCGATATCGGTCATGGCCTGTGACCAGCTTGCTCATATTGACGTTTTCAATGCCATACACATCCTTGACTTCCTGTAAACCGGCAACACCCATCTGCAACTTGCTCGTCCGGTAGAGGAAACCGAGAATATAGTCCTCAGTACTGTACACATTGACAACGCGCGCCGCAACAACAGACCGTATCTTTCTCCAGCTCCTACTATCTGAAGGGACAGGTGCGCCCATGAGGACAACGGATTCCACCAAACCAAAGGCATTCTGTTCCGCAAGCTCGACGAGACAGGACTGGATAACCCTTGCACCAAGCGAATACCCAACCAAAGTAACCGGTCTCTCGCCTTGAACTTTGCTGATCAGCACCTGAGCCAAGACTTTTCCTGCCTTTTCTGCCCTGGCGACAGCAACAGAAAAGGGGTTTTCGAGGATGCTGGCTGCTTTGACTAGCCCCAAGGGCCACAATCCAGCGTACAAAGCACCCAAAAGCGTATGCTTGACGACTGTGTAAGTTACACCGTCCCATGCATAGCTGAACAGCACGTCGTTGAGGGAATTTCCGACGCGGAGCATAGCGTCAAGCTCAAACCGAAGAGCAAAAGGCTCGATTCCGGACGCGTCGACTACTTCCCAGGGCTTGCTCACATCCGACGTAGAATTCAGCCAACCACTGACACCAATGGATACACGGAGTCGATGCTGTCCCTGCTTGGAGGGATTGCGGGCATCTTCTTCCTCGGACTCTCCCCATTCAGTGGAGCGCTGCTTTGAGGGACAAGCAGGACCTATAGTTGAGTTAACTAGGTGTTGTGTCGACAAAGAATAGTAAACAAACCTTGAATTGGGATAAACTCAAAGTCATCCACTTCCTTCGCGTACTGCTTCATCAGTCTCCCCGTCATCTTCCCACCATAGGCTCCAAACAGCGACCCCACCAGAACCGAGCTTCCAGCCAAACCCCCAAGTAACCCAGAGACCGCTGTGGCCCCAAGACCTAGACCTCCCATTACAGTGCCTACTCCGGCAGCCAGTAAAGGAGCTGCTAGACCTCCTGTGACACCGATTAATACGGCGCCTCCCACCGCTGCTAGACCCATTTTCCACTTTCTTGACGCAGAACCATCTGCAGCTTTCTTCTTTGTCGCTTCTTCGGCGTCCATCTGCGAAGCGACTGAAGCCAAAAGCCCCTGTGCCACTGATCTCTCATGTTCTGCTAAGACATCTATTTCAATTTCAAGGCTGCATGCGAGGTGTAGAAGTAGAACGCGGGAATGAGCGGGGTAAGTTTCCAAACTGAGAAGCAAAAGCAAGATGCAGTGAAGGATGAGATCACGCTTGGGTTTATCAAAACTTGTCAGTCGGTTTTCAACGGCCTCATAACGACCACATCGTTGTTTTGGCTGAGGAGCCGAACTGCTGCTAAAGGGGTCGCCGCCTAAATCCATAAGCAGAGAAGCGCCCTGAGTTTGCTTCTGCGCAGCATCTTTGTCTGCCTTCCGTTTTGCTTTCGCATTCCTGACCACATCTCCTCGCACACAAAGTACATCACACACGCGATGCATAACACCAGCCCGCCATTTGTCGAAAAAGGTTATTGCTGAACGCCGTAATGCTTGCATTTCTGTTGATTGGATTTCCCTTTCTCTTTCCTGCCTTGCTCTTTCTGTAGCCATGGTGGCCTCATCCTCTTGTAGCGTATCAAAGCTGATGAGGTCCAGGGAGGGAGAAACAGTTGGTTTCGGGGACACAGGGGGTACAGAAGAAGAGCCAGACTCATACGTCTTGGAGGGATCAAATGTCGCGAGGAGGTCGGTCCGCATCGCATCTGTGCATAAGAGGACTAGGAGTGCGAGTTCGACGCGTTTGGCCGGCGTCCCGAGGACGGATGTGAGCGAGGCGCCTTCATCTTGAGATGCGGAGTCCTGACCAGTCCCAGATATGACGTTGGCGACTTTGTAAAGCATTCTAATGAGTAGAAGAATGCACGATTACAGAACGAGCTAATCTGAAAGATTTGAGGGTGGAAAGGATGTCTAAGGGAGTTGAGCTTCAAGGGGGCCGTAACAGAGTATCCAAGCGCCAAAGGATCCGCTATCATGTAGGACGGAATCAGCGACACCTAAATATAGTCAATTGGCAGTCAACTGCAGCTACTAGGATATTTTTCATTATGGAGAAGGGGATGATTACTGGTAAAGGGGGAGCTGAATCCTGCAGCCTGTTTGAAGTTCAGGGTGCAGAGCACGGCCTTTTACACGTGATAGGACAATGCCAAGTTCGGTTAGCAGATACCGTCGCAAAATTTCTTCGCACTTCAACCCACCACCATCTTTCCTACACTCATCAATATCCCCAATGACCATCCTTCATCGACTACTTCTCAAAACATTGAGAGGTGCAATGAGAGCGACCTCTTAGTCCTCTTGGCTTAGATCGGGACCTTGCGATGGAGGCTGCTAACAAAACAGAAGCGGAGTCTATCCAGTGCTGAATCTTTTGAGTAGATAGAGTGCAGTTCTCCATCATGCACCAGCAGCTTTTTGGTACGTACTATCTCCTTTTCTCTACTCCCTCGCATCCTGATGACTTATTCATTCCAATTCCGAATACATACATGGGGATAAGCTTTATTTTCCAATTGTTCCTTCTGAAATGCATGCTTCTCTTATCATTGTCAATACCTTTTGCTTCAGAGTTTCAACATGCTAATTTGCATCTTCAGGTTTCATCTGTATCAGGTCAAGGACTTGATTGAACTTTGACAAGGCCTTTGATGGTTTGGTGCAGTGGGGGACTAACGGGCCTCGCTTGAGATCAGTAGCATCGTAGACCTTCATAATAATATACGCCATTTCCAATGATAATAGATATTCTTCAGGGTGAAGTGCGAGCAGTCCGGGAACATCCGGCATCCCGTTCCCCTTGCTGTTTGTTAAACTTCAATTTTATGGATTATTAAGGCGTAGCCATTCTTTCCACTTCTTGTCCGAATACCTCAGTATCTCTACATTCGTAAATGCCGGAACCGTTCGACTATTCTCATAGGTTGTCTTGCTGTCACAAGTTACAAACTCTGGCCTCAAAAAGCTTGGGTCGTAACACACATTAACGTCGGAGAGTGCTTACTCCCCACTCTTAAGAAACATGTGCTGAGTCTCGCTTCTTGTTGACATTGCTCTACTACTTTTCCTTCTTTTGGATTTTTGTCCACTACATGTATGGTTCGAGACGGGCCTTATAAGCTCAAAAAATGAACAATTAGTTAGCTCTCGATGTAGCGCCAGTCAGTTCAACTGGAAAGACATAGAAGCAAAATTAAACAAAAACTAAAGTTTGATTCAACTGATTCCGGTACCGGGAATTGAACCCGGGCATTGACGGTGAAAGCGTCACATCCTAGCCACTAGACCATACCGGATGATGTGTTGTTGTTCCATATAAGATATCAGTTAATGTTCAAATTTTATATGTGATAAATAACCATGTAGTCTAGACCTTGGTACCTTTTTTAATTGAAGAGATAATTGAAAAGACATCGCACAAAGCAAAACACTATTAAACATCTAATTTGTAATCCTTAAAATGGCAGTTTACAAGCTCAGGGGTAAAATTCAATGGGGAAATATCACAGCACATGTCCGCTGTGTTCGTGTTGTACCAACCTACATTGCCTTTAAAGTCGCAGTTCTTTCCCAGGAGCTTCGGATTGCTCTACGGGATGAGCTGGTCGTGATGATTGCAATGTCAGCTTGCTCTCCCCCTCTCGCTCCAAGGTAAGCTCTTTCATCAAAAGCGACGAAGTCAAACCCACAAGAAGAGAGACACTTGACAGCAATCCAGATATACTGTATCGGCAGCGCATAAAGCTGCAACACGTCGTTTCGGAGGTCCTCTGATAAATGCATCTTCTCGACCAGTTCATGAAATAGATGGCATCCTCTAAGTTTGGAAGTGTTATATCCGAAGGTATTCTCGCACAGATTTTCTCAATCTCGAAATCGAACATATTGGTAAAAGATCGCCTCTCCAACGAACAAGCCCACCATGGACCCCCACGGCGCGCAAAAAGACTAATGTGCCCATAGCCGCACCTGAGCCTTCTACGTCCAGGGAGGCTTGCAAAGCGCGGCCAAGGCGAAAAGGGGGCTACCTGGTGAGCGCTTTAGAAGTAGAGGATGAGGTAGTAAACCCAGATACCCGAATGATGCCGTGAAGACAGGAACAGAAGAATGCAGTGGATCTGGTACGGTGTGAAAAGACACGACAGATAAGAACAGGATTGGGGGGTATTTTTCGTATATGGCAAAGTCATTCAAGAAGACGACTCCAAGAATCATCGGAACAACTGTGTTCGGCGCCGACCATTCATAGAGTTGGCCGCTTCAGGAAACGGCCAGTATAGAACCGGTCATCCCAGTCAATAGAAAAACTACCCCGACCCACTCCTGACTCTCTTCATACCTACAACCACACCTCAAATCATGCCAGGCTTCGTCCCTTACCGGAGGAAGCGCGGCGAGGAAGAAGCCAGCATTCAGGAATCATCCAGCTACACCGAGCTGGTCGTCGACCAGAAGCAAACGCACTCGGTTCAGCCACGTTTGCCAGCTTTACAGTTTAGAAGTCGATCACTTTTCAGCTTGGATAGCCAGACCAAAGCAAGTACCATCAGGGGAAATTGATCCAGGCCATGGACCTCCAACTCACATAAGCGGCCTTTCTCTTAAAGTGGTGATGTCGGTCAGGGCCACCTCACAGAGTGCTCCATTCCGCCTCCACCGACGCCTTGAATTTCCCGACCTACAACCAGGACTTCAGCATTCTGAGAGCCCATCCCACCACGCGGGACCGATGACGAAGAATGAAATGCACTCATATAAAGCGAATCTACGTTCAAGGACATCCGAGAAGGCAGTGTATGGGTTAGAATTGGACAGCATGAGGAGGAATGAGATGCCGGCCCAAAAAGACTGTAGGGACGTGGCTAAATCAAGCCCGTTTTCGAGATCTACGGGTGCATTCTGGACGCCGCCCTCCTTGTATCTAGCCATTTAAGGAGAGAAAATAAATCAAAAAGAAGAAATTGAAATTGATGAAGAATTAAATTTTAAGAATCGATAATCTGTGGCGACGCGTGGCCGGGGGACGCGTATGTGGGATTGTCAGAAACAGGGAGCGGTCGGAAACTTGGGTGCCTTACTTAATAATCCAACAACAGAGTTTTTCATTGATGCTTGAAAGAGCCCAGCAGGCAGCGATATGGAGGTAGTATCATCTAACGAGACCAAGGAACAAGCACCCAAGATGAGATATGACATCAGGAAACAATAAAATGAAGTATCAAAGAACAAACGGATGGAGTAAAGGTTCAAAAGAAGATGACCGTAAGGATTGGCAACATGAAATATAAGCTGAGACCGCATATGGTCGAAGCAACTTACTATCAACTTCGAATACATGAATTTATACTCAATAGTTCATTAGACCTCATGGTAAAGCACAATATGATCACTATCATAATACAGTATGTTGACTACCTAGTTTTTACCTCATGCTGCTTACATGAAATCTGAAACCTTCAACGCGAACGCAAACCTGTCTACGAACCGAAGTTTGAAATATGACGATTTGGGTGCTGCGCGACATGAAGTCTTACTTATTCAAAGTTAAGTACGGTGTACACATTGCTATAGGTTAATTTAACGAGTCAGAGCAAGAAAGCCCTCCCTGTATGCAGGTGGTGGGTTTATAAGTGGTCACGTGTTTACATGCGCCGTTCGTGTTTAATGAAAGATAACTCCTTAAGGCATAGGTTAGATTCAGAGGCTCCTCCGCTTACGACATAGTTTACAATACTAATGCCATTAAAATGGCTGCGCAGGCGATGCCATGATAGACGCACATCGGACGCGACGGTACACATCCCGAAGCCTTTCAAAGCTCTCACACTTTCTGTAAGCCGAGACCACACATGGTTAGGGCATCCCAATGCTGACTTGGCGCTAAATTCATGTATATATACTTTATACTTCTTCTGACCTTATGGTCAACAACTCAGTCGACAATACAGTCCTGTACCCCCTCAAACTACTTATACTTTCCCTTTATCTTCATCAGTCTATTACAACCAAAATCGAGTTCTGCGGTCTGCCGACAGTCGAAGCTTTGACTAAAACTCTCTACAAAGCTCTGTACGAGGGTCCTTTCGAAGATCAGAACTGGATCCGATGAAGCAGTCAATGAATGCACCATGTATATTCTGGAATTCCGGAAGAACAGTGGAACGACACCAACCAAACCATATTCCTTGACATATTTGTTGGAACATTACTACAGTCAACTCAATAAAATGCAAGAAGATCCGTATGCCTACAAGAAGATGAATTACGCTCTTCTTCAAGGCACATGACTACGCCCGCATAGACACCCTGAAGAAATTGAAGTGTGGAGCTGGACTTCAAGGCTGATAACTTCTGGTTCTCCAGTTTCACTGAGAGACAAAAGATAACCTGTTCCTGAAGAACTTCATGAATTTCACTGAAAAGTAAAAGTTATACTGGAAAGCAGCTTTGTTAAAAGAAACAAGGCTAAGACTTCTAAGTTCTATAGAAATGAAGATGGGGAGCACGAAGTGGGTTAGGTGTTAAATCGTCCTCCTTTAGCTCTATTCATGTTAAAAATGAACTTTCTTCTGAACTTCCTCCGAGGAAGTTCTTTCCTTAGCACTATCTTATTTATCGCTGGATTACTCTCTAATGTTACTCACAAGAATCCATACGGGCTTCCGCGTCCTTCTTTTTACCCCACCACCTAAGCCTCCCCCCTCCGCTTCAACTCCATAGCCGCAATAACCGCCGCACCCAATCCACTCCCATCTTCTGCACTCGTCAACACAATCGGGTCTTCCATTCTTCCCTCCTCCCACCCCAAAATCTCTGCCATGGCTTCCGCCCACCTCTTCTTAAACTTCGGATGCTTATTTGCCACACTTCCATCTGCTGCCACATGCCCCTTCTGTATCCTCTTCTTCTTGCAAATAGCAGCCACACCACACGCGCAGAGCCTTGCACCGCGCATGGCAATGACCTCGGCTAAGCGGCGCACGAGTTCAATTTCGGGCTCGCTGGGGGAGAGTGAGAGTGTGGATTGGAAGAGATCCCGCGTCGTGGTCAAGTGGGTAGATTCATCGTCTTCGATTTGGGAGAGGAAGCCTGTGTCGATTTCATACGGCTTTTTCAGTTTCGCGGTGTCTTGGTCTTTGAAAATAAGTCCTCTTTCCACGAGATCGACGAGCGCAAGGCGGAAAATTTCGCCAAGATAAAGACCCGCAGACAGCTTCTCGAAAGTTTGTTCCCCCGGGCGCGGCGATTCTTCGTCGATTTGCTCGTCATATTTAGTGCGGGGCAGCACGCGGTGCCGGTTGTCAAAGGCGCCGTATTCACAGTTGATGGCCATTTTAGAATCCCTTGGTAAATCCGCTTTGAGTTTGGGAATTGATTTGCAGTCTTCCATGTACGCGGCATTGCAGCCTGTGCCAAAGATGCCGCCGATGATGGTTTCGGGGTCAGAATAGGCGGAAGCAACCATGGCGCCTACGGTGTCGTTTATTAGGGCGACTAGCTTGATTGGAAGGTCTCGTGCAGTTATGGCTTCTCGTAGTTGGGCGGCGGCGTTGTGGCCTTCTACGCCGTCAATGTCGAACCCCTTGGTCCAGGTCTGCAAAACTCCGTGATCGATCCGGTCCTGGGTTGCCGGGTAACTGAATGTAAAGCCCAGGGGAACTGGATTTCTCTCATGGTACTCTGCTCCCAACTTCTTCTCTTCCATGAACTGAGCCAGGGCATCGGCGACGTGGTTCCAGAGTTCATTGGCATTGCCTGTTTTCAACTCTGGGGGAAGCTTGTACTTAGCTTGATCGATGGAATGCTTGCCGCCGTTGCCTTGAAGGTCAATTTTGCAGACACGGAGGTTGGTGCCCCCAAGGTCAAGGGCGAGGAACGTGCCCTTTTCGTCACCTGTTGGGAGAGAGTGGACCCAAGTTATGTTCATTGGCTGGATAAAGTCAGTCTGGTTCAGTACATCTTTGATTTATTTTGGTAATGTTTAATGTTATAAAAGCGGTAATACATACAATCGGCTCGCCCGTAGAAAGGCCCTCCTCCATTTCTTCTATAAAGTGCTCCACAATCGAATGTAACTTTTCAGTTGGAACCCAGAATTCCTGGTCCAGTTTTGAGAGTACATCTTCAAGTTCTGGTGGTAGGTCTGCCATTGCTTCTATACGGATGTTAGAAGTTCGACAATACTAAGCGAGAATATGGAAAGTATCAGTGACATACTCAATTCAGACCGCTGCCGCCATGAATCATGGCCAACCAGTTTCTCAGAGTCCATTATGATGACGAAGGGTATCTACCT